GCCAGAGGCGCAGCTTACGTTGACTGGCTTTGGGATCTCAGAGCTGTCGAAGGTGACAGGACCCAGCTTTAGTCATCCTCCTCTGTCCCCTTTTCCACTGGCCCCCCTGTCCTGCCTTTGGCCTGCCCGGCCCATCGGCAGAGCCTGCTAAGTCGCTCCACCCTTGATGTCTGTTCGCCCTCACTGTCTGATCCGGTTGTCCTGCAGGTGGTATCTGATCGTCTCCGCCTGCCTTTAGCAAGACCCCCGACCCGCGATGTCTCAGTACTTTTCCGTCCCCTGGGTTCCCCCCACCACCACCACCACGCTGACCTTGGCTGTAAACCCCATTTGTCTTTGTATTTGGAGTTGAGGCCAGTCTCTCTCCCCTATTCCAATAGCCTTGAATAAAGTCTTCCTTACTGTTTTAAGAAGTGTCAGAATAACTTTTTCTTGAGCGGAAGTCAGAGACTGCTTTCCCAGGACGTCACAGCAACCTCTGAAGCCCAGGGCCCCTGAGACTGGTGGAGGGCCTGCCCGTACCAGGGGCCTACTGCACGACAGGAGGGGGAGACGCCGTGGGAGAGAGTAGACTTCCTATGGGGTCTCCCGTCCCTCTCAGCCCTGCTGCTTGTATCACAAAGACGACATAGGGATTTTACAAAGAGGAAAGTCTGCCCATGGAGGTTGAGCAATTATTGCTGTTCTGTGGGGTTTGTCCACGTGCTGTGTTTTGCTGGGCCACGGGGTGCCGTGAGCAGTTTATCGGTCAGATTCTTGCCCTGAGGCCTCTCATCAGTGCATGGGTGAGGTGCCCCCCCCCTCCAAATGGTGTGTGAGCCTCCTCAGGCAACAGAGTGCAGTGCTGTTCTTTGAGGAGGAAGAAAGCCCGTAAATAGTGCCAGTCGGAGCTCTCAGACAGACCCTGGGTCTAGTATCAGGCTCTGGCGACCTGTCCAGGTCTCAGGGCAGGACAGGAGTGCAGCCTCACCGAGAGTGGCAGGAAGAGTCCAAGAAGCCCAGGCTGTGCAAGCTTGCAGAGGCCTTCTGGCTGTCCCAACTTGGGAGCCGCATCAGGTGACAGGAGAGTCTGCCCAAGGTGTGGGTGACCTGCCACTAGCAGATGGAAGCCAGCATCTGCAGAAGCTGGTCCTGGGGAAGGCGGAACAGGCAGAGCACGGTGTGCTGTGGCCGTGGGCCGGGGACATGTGGGAAGGGGGCTTTGCAGTTGCTGGCCCTGCTTGTCCCCACCTGGCTGAGATGGCCTCTCCTCCTCCTACCAGGACTGGTGTGGTCCAGGTACAAGAACCAGACCAGGTGGGGCATGAGCCACACCACGGAGGCTGTGGGACAGGCCCCAGCTCTCGGCAACAGGGCTGCACCTGGGAGGCTCTGTGTAGGCGATGGGGGTGACAGGGGAAGGTGTGAGGACCCTGCAGGTCGGCCTGGAGTAGGTCGACCCTCAGGTTCAGGGTGTGTGGATTTCCCTGTACTAACCACTGGGGAACAGGAACCACTGGGCCCTGAGTCCAGGCGGCCTGGGCCTCTGGGAGGAATCTTCTCAGTGGAAGTTGAGGATGGGCCCCTGTCAGGCACCCACACAGAGGGAAGGAGGAGACAGGTGTGCTTACGGCCCTGTGGCCTCTGGGGACCTCTGCAGCCCCTGCCGGCTCTGTGGCTGTTCAAGAGGGTGGCTGGGGTGTGAACCGGTTGAAGGTCCTGGTGACTCAGGTGACTCTTGTAAAGTGAGGATTCTTTGCCTGCTTAAGTAGAAGTGTGTCGGTTTGGATGTGTCACTGTGCATCCCCAGAACTCCCTTCCCCGTGTAGCTCCGATGAGAGATTTGCATGCGCTTTGGAAGGTGGAAGACGGCAGGTGGAAGGCCATCCCGGGCAGAGGTGGGGAGAGATGGATGGACTCAGAAGGGTGGGGTGGGGGTGGGGGCCCAGGGTCTTCCCTGAAGTCTGTCCTCTTCTTGCCGACAGTGGCCTTACCTGCCGCCAGCAGCCCTTGTTGCTGCAAACTCACGGTGAGAGCTCTGAAGAGGCCACCGCCGTCCACAGACCTCTCCACAGCCCCCCTCGTGGTCCTGCTTCCAGAGCTGGCCACGCCGAGCTCCCCAGCTCCCCTGCAAGCTCGCTCCTGTGCATCTGCCCCCCCTGCCCTGGGAGAACTGCTTCTCGCTCCCCCTTCTCCAGTTTCTCCCGGACTTCTGTGTCCCCAGCTCCTTCCCGCTACTGTGTAAAGATGAGCGCCTGTAACACATCTCCTATTTTGCCATGTTCCCAGGGCTCCTGCTTCCTGGAATGAACCCTGACACAGGCAGAAATGCAGCACCAATTTGCTTAAACCAAAACGGAAACACCGGTTCCCGTCGTCGAGTAGCCGAGGGGACACGGGTGGGCGTCGTCGAGAAGCCAAGGGCAGTGGCTTCGAGTGTGGCTGGATCCAGGGCCTCGGTCTTCGTTATTGGGGCCCGGCCTCTACTCCCGCTCCCAGCTTACACTCGCCCGCATCAGATGCTGTCTACCCTCTGCTTCAGGCCTGCACCGTGGCTGCTTGAGTCCAGCAGAAAGAAAGCTTTTCCCGGTGACTCAAGTACCTGTTTGGGGACTGGCCTGGCATCAGTCCTATGCACCCCGAATCCGGCTCTGCGGCTGGCTGTGCAAAGCCCGGGTTTCCGGCCTGAGCCACATGCCCAGGGTGGATGATGGGAGTGAGGGAGGGGAAGTGACCCAGAGGAACATCAGAGAAGAAGGGAACCCGCTGCTTCAGACTGGCGGTTGCTGTGGGAAAGGTGACAGCCCGAACATGCCTTGTCTTCTGCCCCCACCACGTCCTCTCCTTGTGTCCCCTGCACACACTTCCTTATTCCAGGGGAACTTCCCTCTCCCAGCGGTCACTCTGGGGCTCTGCTCACTGGATTCCCACGTGGCCCTGGCTACTATAGGACAGTGTCCTTCCCTCACTTCTAGCCCAGCTGAATCACGAGCTTCATTTCTGCCAGCACCACATCCCAGAGACCCGCGTGGCTTCCCCGAACTCCCGTGAGCTTCTGGAAGCTACACCCCCAGCGTCTCCTCCTTATGGCTCCTTGAAGCCCCTGGGTTGGAGGGGGAGTGGGAGGGGCCAGGTGGCCTCCAGGCCGGGAGGCATGGTCCTCCCTCTGCTGGGGTCCTGGCCCCTGTGCAGTCTGGGTGATAGCACTGCTCCAGCAGGCGTGACAGGGACCCAGGGACAGGGCCTGCTCTCCTCTCAGGACCCTGGACGGGCTGACCACTCCGCCCTCATCCCCAGGGGGCTGCCCCACAGCGGGTGGGGACTGAAGCACAGAGGAAAGTTCGGGGTGTTTGGGCTGGACGGTGGCAGAGAAGAAGGTCCTGGGGTGGAGAGGGAGGAACCTCCTCCAGGTGTGAGCTCTGCTTCTCCGATGGCAGCAGAAACTGTCAGTAGCCAGCAAGGTCACCCCAGGGTGGACCGTCCCCAGACCTGCCTACCTTCCTCCTGCCTGGTTTTCCTCTGGGGACTCGGCCTCCGTGTGTTTTAGCCACTCTGCCTCCAGTTCTGCCTCCGCTCTCAGCTGCGACCCTCCCGGGCACGGCCCCTGGCCTATCACTGCTGGGGTACAAAGGCGGGCCCTGTGGCTCTGGGTGCACAGCTGGAGGGCCACCCGGCCTCAGAGCTCCCTGGGGCTCCTGGGAGAGCACCGGACTCGGGCGGCCTGGAGCCGCTGGCCCGTCTCCCCGAGCCAGCTGTCCAGGGCTCCTGAGGCCTCGCCTGCCAGCGTGGGGCCGGCTGCCTCTCACACCCAGGAATACCCTTGAGGGCAACAACCACTGCCTGCTCCCTCCATGCTGTGCCTGGTGGGGGACTCCACGCTGGGCCTGCTGGCGATCGTGTTCTGACCACGCGGGACCGGGGGTGACTGGGACTTGCCCCAGCTTCTGCCCTAGCTTCCCTTCTCTCTACCCACCCCTACCCCAACCTCCAAACCCTTTGGTTATCCGGTTATCCGCAGCTATGTAACAATGGCTCCAAACCTAGCAGCTGACGGCGGGAGACATTACCTCTTCACGGTGCCTGAGGGGCGGGAATCTGGGAGCCGTGGGGCTGCTGGCCTGGTCTGGGGCCTCTCGTGGGGTCAGGTTGTGGGCCCGGGGCCAGGGGCTGGGGACCAGGGCTGCCGTCTCTGGAGACCTGAGTGGGGTCCGGGCTCGTTCACGCAGCTTGTGAGAGAAGAGTAGCCTGCATGTGTTCATTTAACACAGTGTCCTGAGAGGTTGTTTGGGCCTCGAGGTCCTTCCCAGCTCTGTCCCCATATCTGTTGCTTGGAAACGCGCTGCCTGCTATGGCTGTCGGGAAGGCACATGGTGCAGGGCATTGGCCCCTGCGCCGATTTGCTCCCTCGTCACCATCACATCTCAACCATCCTTTCTGAGAGGTCATTCCCAGAAGGCAGATGATCTGTCAACCTCAGGCATGAAGGCATGAAGGCATGAAGGCATGAAGGGACGATGGTGTCCCCAACATGAAGCCCACTTCTCTTGGTGCTCTGTCCGGACCAGGGCTCTGCAAGCCACAGCCACTGCCTGTTTTTGTAAATAAAGTTTTATTGGCACACGGCCACGCCCATCCATGTACCTGTGGCTGATGGCTGCTTCCTGGCTGCAGGGGGCTGAGTAGTTAAAACGGAGCCCCTGGGCCTGCGGATCCTGAAGCATTACCAGTGGCCCTTAGAGAAGCCGTTGCAGCCCCGCCCTAGACTCTGGCCGTGTTGTCGCCCCACCCCCTGGACCCACCCCAGCACCCAGCTTCTCTGCTCCCGTGGATTATTCACGGCCGGCCACAGCATGCCCATGCCACGTGGCCAGACTGCTCTCTTTTTCACTGACTGAGTTTTCTTTTCGCTGCCAGAACTTTTTACTTTGGCCGTGTTGTCCACGCCGTGAAAACGTCCTCCGCGTTTCCTTTAGCTGGATGTGAGCCAAGTCGCAATCAAAGTCAGGACTGCTGCGTTCCTGCTTTATGGCCAAACGCCTCTTTATTTTTATGGGATGGATGTTTCATAATTGCTCTTGCAACGACGTCCTGGCGGACGGAACGTGGCCTTCTTGTGAAATGTGTGGTTTTTTCTGGAAGGGAAGGAGCCACAGGGGCGACATGAGCGCTGATGTTTGGTCAGCAGCCTGTTTCACGTACTGCTTCCCCTTCACCGACGTTCCCACAGAGGCCCTGGGATACTCGGAAGCCGAAGTCAGACCGCCCATGCCTGCCCCCCCGAGAGCTCTGCGTGATTGCTGTCTCTTGAAATATTAACTGATCCTCCGCCGTGTGCTTTCAGTCAGTGGAATGGCTCTCAGGCCAGAAGGCCCCCCAGGGAAGGAGCGCTAGCCCAGAGTCTGGGCACGGCTGCTAAAAACCAGCTGCAGACGCCGTGGGTCTCTGCTTGCTTTGCCTGTTAACTAAGGTCTAAGACCCCTCCCGGGGGCGGTGGCAAGCCAGCTCCTGCGGCGGGTGCCGGCCGAAGGCCTGGGCTGCCGGACTCTGACAACGCAGCAGTGACAGGGGGGCGCCTCCTGCAGGTGAGAGCCTCCAATCAGCCGTCACACCCCCGCTGCTGTCCACCCTTTACCTCCACAGTGCTGACCGCTTCGGAGGAGGGCTCCAACCACCTTTGTGCCCATCAAAGTGCCTTGAGAAATCCATCAAGCACTGCCCTACGTAAGGGGCTCTGATGGGTTCTGATGGGCCACAGGGGTCCTGTGGGCCCATGGCGCTGTGGCTCACCCCTCTGTGGAGAGGCAGGGGCAGATAAAGGCCAGGCGCCTTCCAGTGGAGGGTGTCATGGGCAGGAATCCGACCACTAGGTCAGCACGCCCAGGGGAGGAAATGAGGGCGTGGTCAGGCGGCCAGGAGTCAGCTGGCAGAGGTGCAGGGCCCGGGAGTGGCATTGTGCCACCGTGGGGGGCATTGTGCACTGGCGTCTGGGAAGGAGAGGGCAGTGGTCTTTGTGAGGTGAGGGCACTGTGGGGGGTGGTCTGGACCTTTAGGAAAGCTGTGGTCAGCTTTTTTGTGTGAGGGGGTGGAGTCAGAATCCTTATCCTTCTTCCAGCCAGGAGGACTGGGAAGGGGCAGTCCAACCAGGGTGGAGTTTAGACATCTGTGGGACCCCATGGCCAGCACCTGCCACATGGGTGCTGTGAGGTTAGATCTTCCCTGCCCCCTCGGGCCCTGCCTTACTGGGAATGGCCTCCTGGCTTTGGGTACTTCCAGGAAGACGGGGGTGAGGGTGGCTGCAGGCACCTCGGTGGAGGAGCATCCTGAGGTCTGGAGGGGAAGTGGGTCCCAGGCTCCAGGCCCACTTCGGTCTCCTGTCCCGCCCACCAGCCGACCCCTGCCCCCACTCCCCGTCCCTGCCCGACGCGGTTCCGTCGGGCCTTTCAAGGAGAAGCCGGCTGCTCCTCCCTCAGGAGGCAGGTACAGGCCCAAGAGCCCGGTCCGGGGCGGGGCGGGGCGGGGGGGGGGGG